AGTAGGTATAATAGTGATAACTCAGTAGATATAATAGTGATAACTCAGTAGATATAATAGTAATAACAGTAGAGTATTAATAGTCGATAACTTAGTAGGCTATAAAATAATGATAACCGCAGTAGTATAATATGTGTATAACTGCCGCTAGATTATAATAGTGATAACTCAGTAGATATAATAGTGATAACTCAGTAGATATAATAGTGATAACTCAGTAGATATAATAGTGATAACTCAGTAGATATAATAGTGTAACTCAGTAGATATATAATAGTGATAAAGACAGTAGATAATAATAGTGATAATTAACTCATCTAGATATAATAGTCGATGACTATATATATATATATATATATAGCGCGAGTCGCGTGTGTGATGGTAAGTCGTACTCCTCCCCGCCCCGCGATCTATAGTAACACGGCACGCACGAGAGTACTCCGTCAAAAACGTGCTGGTTTCACGCTGAAATAGTGGAAGCGTGCGTGCGTGCGCGAGCGTGTGTGTGTGAGTCCGTGTGCGTGTGCGTGCGTGTGTGTGTGTGCGTGTATGTGTGTGTGCGTGTGCGTGCATGTGTGTGTGCGTATGTGTGTGTGCGTGCGTGTGCAAGTAAGCAGGCAGGCGGGCATTCAGGCAGGCAGACATACCGCCATGCAGGCAGGCATACAGGCATGCAGGCATGCAGGCAGCAGGCAGGCAGACATACAGGCATGCAGGCATGCAGACATGCAGGTAAGCATGAAAGCAAGCAGGCAGGCAAACAGGCAGATAAGCAGGCAGCTAGATAGCCATTCATGCAGGCGAACATCGACATATGGTTGACGGATGGATGGACGAAACGACCGACGAACAGACGAATGAATTGATGGCTGGATTGTTAGCGAGAGCGAAATGTACTTTTTTTCCCCGATGCTGTACATACATCACGAGTAAACATGCTTTCTTGCGAATGCGCCGGATTTTTTCTTCCCGACTAGTTCTTTCTGCTTCCCCGCAAGAAAGCCGCATTGACAACACAGGAAATTAACTCGGTAGCTTTAACACTCGCGCATATATTCTTAGCTCTGACGTTTTATTATGACGTCTTTGGAACGTTCCAGCACGCGCCGGATGTAATATCCTATGTGCGTCAGACGTATACGCCCGTACAAACCCATGCGTACGTGAACGCGTGTGCGAGCGTGCGTGCTTGCGTGTGCGTACGCGTGTCTGTGCGTGCGTGCGCGCACGTGTGTGCGAGTGTGCGTGTGCGTACGCGTGTGCGTGCGTGCGTGCGTGCGCGTACGTGTGTTCGAGTGTGCGTGCGTGCGCACGCGTACGTGTGTGCGTGCGTGCGAGCGCGTACGCGTACGCGTGTGCGTGCGTGCGTGC